GTGTAAACAAAAATAATAAAAAAATCAGTGTCATACAAATACAAATAATGGCTTCTTTCGTTATGGAGAAGCATAATATCTAGATATATCTATGTTAATTTCATGCGGTTCCTTTTCTTTTCCTATTTTTTTTTATAGATTATGAATGACTATTACGGGTGCTTGGTTTATTAATATATTTATAGGATTATGGTAGTTAAATTAAGATAAATTTTAATAAATTTATTATATTTATAGGATAAAAAATATTTTTGGTTGATTAAATTTTTTTAATTATAATAATCAAAATGGATTTTAAAAAAAAATCAATTAATATTTTAATATTAAAAAAGAGACAAATTTAAATTAAATAGAAAATACGATTTTTAATTAAAAATAGTTTAAATTAAATAATTAATTAACAAAAAATAAATTAATGCATCAAACCCATCACATGTGAATCCATTAATAAGATACTTCCTTATTATATTGCTTCGTCATAAATTATCTTTTAAACGAAAATTATTCATTTGCATGAGATTTATTTATTTTTATTATAAAAATAACAAAATTTATAAATTTTAATTTTAAAAAATATAGAGAATTCGTTGAAAAATATTACTTTAATAATCCAAAGAGAATTCTCTTGCACGGGATTAACACGGCATATTTGATTAAGACAGAGAGATTATTCACTAACGACAAGGATACCAGAAACGGAGGAAGAAGATAATCAGGCGCCTAAAAAAATATCTAGTTGCAGAGTTCACGGGCGATTCCCAAGCGAGAATTCGCCTCATCAAACATCATCCTAAGATTCTGCTGCTGCAAATTGGCTATAACATTCAGCACTGAGTTCACGTTATTCGGCGCCGCCGCCATCGACAAGCAAGCAAGAGACCCTGCACTGCTGTGTATCAAGCTATTCTCCATCGGCAACTTCAAGTCCATGCCTGTAAAATGCAGTGTTATCACCGGCGCCACCGCCTCATACGTCGCCGCAAAGCACGTGTCAAATGCTCCCAATGACGAAAACGGGCCTTTCACCTGTTTCCTGAACTCGTCCCGAATCGCTGTGTAAACGGGTGGTACGAATCGGGTTATCACCGTACCGGAATCGATGATGGTGCCAGCGCCGGTGTTCGGGTTGAAGGCTAAGAGTTCTGGTTCGACGGGGACGAGGACTCGGCCGACGCTGATTCCGGTTAGGTTGACGTAGTAGAGAGATGGGCGGTGTGGGTTATGTAAAAGTGGAGTAGTCCGGATGTTTTTGGGTTGACCCACCGGACCAAGTTTTAGGGATCCGGAAAAGTAGTAGGATCTGAAGCTGGGCAAACAGTAGGAGAACACACCGGAGTAAAGCGACTGGGACTGTGAGATCAACGACATGGGTCCCCGACCCAGACCCAGTAACCCTTGGGGCGGAATTGACCCGCCCGAGATGCTGTTTATGCATCCAAAGACGAAATTAGGAAGGACGTCGTTCGCCAATGCAAGAGAATCTTGCACAAGCGTGGCGGATAACGAGGAGTCTCCGCCGTAGGATTGGTTAAAGAGGCAAGCGGAATTCCCGGTCTCCGGACACGAGAGGCCTCGTACTTGGGTACATTGGGTCATGGAGCAGTCCAACGACCTGTACGTGGAAGAGGTATTGGGTTGAAAAGTGGTTGCAGAGCACCCAGTACAGCCGGCACAGGGGACCCAAGCAGCGTCATTACTGGTATCGAGAACCATGAACATGAGCTGACCTGGGTTACCCAATTTGACCCGGACGACATAGTTGGCGGTGTTTAGAACCTGCTGGCCGGAAGCAATGGGTACCGCAGTGGTCTTCTGACCCACAAGGCTGGACAAGTACTTGACCCGCTCCGGGTCCTTGGACGCCATGTCGATGACTGTGGTAACCCATGAGTTAGACTTGGGTGCGGTAAAAGGTGAGCATTTGCCGTAGATTGGAATGACGGAGAGATCAGAGGCGTCGGGTTGGGTGGCACAGGGATCAAAAGCTTTGACTGATGAGATAAGAAGAGCAAAGAAGAGGAATGTTACAGTACTCAGATCCATCTGAGGTTGAAGAAGAAGAGAACTTGTGCGTGGAAGATTAGGAAGGAAACGTTATTTATATACACCCACGGAGTGAATACAAATTCTACACAATATATTTGTATAAGTATATATTTCGTTAATTACATTATAGATGTTATTGAAGAGATAGACAAAAGGAAGGTCGTCTGATTGGAGTTATATAATGATTAAAAAAATTGTATTGATTAGCTGTGTCCACGTGAGTGAATTGCCATTACTCTTAGCTCATCACTCATAATAAGCCGCAAAATAATGTTGTAGGTAAGACCAAAACGACAAGGCTCTTCCCCGTTTTAGCGCAGAAGATATAACAAAACGACAAACATGCTTTTGAGTTCCCTACATCTTAGCTCAAATTCAATCCGCTCCAGAGAAATGTCCTTGTCTCATACTTGAAACATTTACCATCATCATCCATTCAAAATCACAATTATGCCACTGAGTTGGTGAAAGTGTGGGGGACCGGAACGCTAACGGGAAGGGGCAGAATTGAAATTATGGAGTAATTAGAGGGCAAGGTGGTGAAGAAATGAAGGAAAGGAGACTCGTGAATCTATCATTACACGGAGCCGGAATTGACGAAGGGGAAATACTTTTTGTCCCTACATGCATGAGAGGCGGTCGGTCACGGGCTCACTGAGTCAGGAACTCCGACTCTTCAGATGTAAAGATCCAAAACGAGTAGCTGCCAATCATACGGTGGTAAAAAAAAAAAAAAAAAAAAGGAATAAAGATTTTGTATCTACTGAAACGAAAGTAATGAACCAATCATAAGATTATCACCATTGTCAGGACTACTATTTTTCTTTAACTGATTTAATAGGCAGTCGAGAGTTATAGTAAATATTATTAAAATAGTCAGTAACTAAAAATATTTTTGAGTCAAAATTATTTCAATGTTTGATAAAAATAGAAGTTATTAATTTTTTAAAAAAGCAAAAAATTGTGTTTGATAAAAATGAATTTTAAAATTTCCAATGTAAATTTTTAATAAAAAATAAAACCATTTTTTAAAAATTACATATTATAATTTTTAACTTTAAAACATATTAAAAGTAAATTTTGTCCATTTTATCCATTTAGTTATAAAAGTAATTTGCAATACAAAAGTTAAAACCAAAAACTGAACTACATTATTAAAATACTTTACATTCTATCTATTTAAGTTGTAAAAGTGCTTTGAAATGTAAAAATTAAAGTCATAAGTTGAGCTACACCCCCTTACAAATTTCATTAAAAAGAAATATATAAATAACAAATGTACATTAACGATAACACAACTTACTAATAAAAAAAACACACTTAACACAACATTCTAACAAAAACAAGTAAAATATGTAAGTCATTACTCAGAACTCAACCTCAGAAGTCTGATGTTTAAAAGTTTCTATATAATTTCTCATTCACAGCTGAAGTAAAAGACAAGGCACAAGCAGTTAAAAGCAGAAAAACAAGGTCCACCTTGAAAGCGCTCTCCACTTAACGTCAATGGTTCCCTGCTAAGAGCCCCCCCCCCACTAGCAGGTTCACGAGCTATTTCTATTCAATATTCTATATAAACAAACTTGTCAGCTTCAATACCCAAGCAGAGACTCTTCCCGATCCATCAAATTTTACCTTATCCACATCCCGGCATCTTAAAAGAAAAAGATAAAAATATGAATAAAAACAATAATAATAATAACGATCTATCTGTACATGTACATTAATCAATGGTAAACAACTACGACTCAAGTGCTTCCGAGGCACTACAACTTTCTCATTTCCTTTTATGCATTAATGAAGAGTAGTACAAGATTTTTAGACTTCACCAATGATTTTACATAATTTTTATCTGAATATAAGTAAGCATTCCAGTAAATGCTAGCAGTTCATGTTCCAGCCTGTTCTCATGTGCTCATGTAAAACCAAATACAATGTTTTGATAATACGTTGATCTCTTCTCACCTATCTTGCATTCACGACACTGACAATCAACATGAAATCTTTTATTACCAATTTGTTGTTCACATGTGGTATACAGTATGCAGGGTTTATACTGGAAGGAAATTATTAAAACAAACCAAACAAAAGAAGGAAGGTACAGGTTAGGGACGTGTCCCTAAATGTAGATCTGGAAAGGCCAATCAATCTTTCCAAAACCACTCAAAAAAGCATACAAAGAGTGACCTTACTGCACAAGCTAGTAAACAAGAATAAACTGCAAAGTTTGAGCGAGTCTCCCCCCAACTCTAAGGCAGCATTTAGTGATGCATCACATGCCCGCTCAGCATCTACATGATTTTGCTCGGCATCGGCAGAAGATGTAAACAACTGAACACGAATTAAAGCAAATGTTAACCTAAACAAGTCCCACAAGAAACAAAATTTTGGCTAGCAGTGCTCATAATTAGGAATGTTAACTCAGCTTGTTAGTAATGCAAAAAGCACCATGAAAACTTAAAATTGTTGAAAGAATATCAGTCTTTCTACTTCTCATAAAGTATTCTTGTAATTTTATCTATATTAAATACGTTTTATGTCTAAACCAATTGAAAACATAACTATACATGGTTTTAAGCTTGGTTGGGGACAGCTGCTCCACTGCATCACTATAGCTCCGTTCAAGGATGTAAGCCATGTGCAATAAGTTGCAGGAATAGTACATATGAAGCATATATCACCATCATAATTCCCATAAGAGAATATTTGCATAAACATATACATCATTGCTCTGTCATTAAATTTAGCGCTTTAAAAGAAAATATGTAGACAACAAGAAATATCATATGGTTACCTCAACTAAAGCAATGAAAGCAATACCTGTCTATGCTTAAGACGATGTGTCCTTGCTCTTCACGATTATGACAGGGCACTGGGCATGATTGGTGCAATAATTGCTTATGCTTCCCAAAAACATCCTGGCGTTCAATAAGTTCTATCATCTTCAGAGTAGCAATATCAATCAAGCATCTGACTCGCATATTGTTCTCATCCTAATACAGTAGCACAGATTCTAATTCATGGTTTCTAGAATCAAAGTTGATCAGTCTCTTTGCTACTAACAATTTAGTGCAGCATCAGGAAACATGAGTTACAAATTTTTGTTTCATTTATTAATAAGATAAAAAGAGTTTTTTAAGGCTCTTAGCAAAGACTGTACGCTTAAAAAGAAGTCATTCAAAAGAAATGCTTTCCTAGAAACTGGCACCAAATCTATGTTGGAATTAATTAATCGTATAAGTGAGCTGCGAACAAAAACAGCTGAAAGGGACCAGAAATTATCAGTATTTATGAAGATAAATATTTACAACTCAAATCTTATCAATTGCACATACCATTTCAAATTTAACAGTAGAGAAAGACTGCAGTCTATGGTAACTTGATGGAAACCAAGTCTCTGCTACTTGACAGTTAAATATACTTTTAATCAGCACTTGGAAACTATGGTATAAACCAGAAGTTAATTACAGGATAAATCATGGTAATTTCATTTTCACAAAGTCACATTAGAATTGGCCATGGGAATAGGTGCAGATTCTGCAGTAAACAAAATAACAGATTATTGGAAAAGCAGAAGCAGATGCTTAAAAAGTGAAAAAATTAACTATGAAAAGTGTTCACCTATCCCCTGGTTTCTAGCAAATTCAGAGAGTTTCCTACATCAGGACATAAACTCTTCAATACTCGTACAGCTTCCACCAACTTAGAGAGTAAACAAATTAACCATGAAAATGTTCACCTATCCCCTGGTTTCTAGCAAATTCAGAGAGTTTCCTATATCAGGACATAAACTCTCCAATACTCTACAGCTTCCACCAACTCCATCAAGTTCCTTTCAACCCACACGCAAGGAAAAAAGGCCCATAAGCACATGCCTGTTCATAGTTGACCCATGTAAATACAAAAGGAGATATTGCCACTCAGAACAGCTAAACCCCAAAACATGAAGTTTTAGATGAATTCTTGTGTACAATTTGCTGGCATTCACATCAATTTTCAGACCAATATCAAACAAGGAAGCCCGAATGCTTCATGCATGGCATCCAAGCTTTCCAAGTGACTTCAATGCAGACAGTGCCATAGCTGAATCAATTGGAGGCTCCAATATGCATCACTATTTAAGAATATGAACCTCCAATTTTTCCAGATTCCGCAAAAGTATAAAGTGCAAAAGCCATATAGAAATAATGGTTAGAAGCTTAGGCGAAGGCCAAGAACAAGTCCACTACCTCCAACAAGAACTAATGATAAGAGAAAGATTAGTGACTTTAATCTTTTTTAAGCAGAAATTAATGCCTTCCAACTTCAAGAAAAAATGTAACATTATCCACAGATGAATATGAACACTTAATAACGACACAATTTTCTCCCGTAGGATCTGTACCTTTTAATAGGGCCAAAAGCACGGGAACCCATCACAAGCAAATCAGCATGCAAATTCTCAGCAATTTCACAAATCTTCTCCTTTGGATCCCCAATAACCACCTGAGTCTTCACATTAACCTGATTCACATAAGAAAAACATATGATCCGATCCGCAAGAGCCATGATTGGGAATTGTCTGATCGTATTTCTCCGAGATAACTAATAAATATGGCATTCACGAAATATAAAATAACAACTACAATCTTATTGTACTGTAATGAGATAGCAGCTGCCCAAAGTTCCCACGTCAGTATCAGCATATGGTTGCATTTCAACTTCAAAGACGCATCAAGACACTTATTACTTCAGTTCAAACGTAAAACAAAGGCAACACAACGGGAAAATAAATTCATTATGGAAATTCTTAATCAACTTATTCCAGGATTATGCAATTATCTTGTCATGCTTTACTGACATATATATTGATTAGCAAGTAAGGTGCATCAAATGCGCAAAAAAGAAGCGTCTACAAAAGAAAAGAATAACCAATCAGAAAACAGAGCTCACATTTTTGTTGGCGCAAATCTGTAACGCATGTTCTAGAATCGCCTCAGAGATCCGCCTCTGGTGTGCCTCGATCGCCGCAGTAAACGCGGGAACCTCCAGATCAGCTTAATTTCATTTTCAAATCGACATGTCAATATTCTGTTTGACAAACGTAACTCGGATTTTTGTTGAAAGAAGAAAGAAAACAAGAGAGAAGAGACTTAACTGGGCCCGCCAAAGGGATACCGCCGGGATAAAGCCGACGGCGATTGTCGGCGGAGACTGTACATGGAGGATGATAAAGGAGCCAGGGGATCGGTGGAGTCGGGATCAGGGGACCGGAGCTTT